AACATAAAACCTTAAACCTTAGCTGTTATAAATTCACTGTAAACCACGGCTTCATGGGGTTTATTGCTTTTATAAAATGGTTATTCCATATACGTAGTAAGGTTTCACAAAATAAAACCGAGCAAATAAAGTGTAATGATATTAATAAAAACTAGGGGTGCTCCGATCAGGATTTTTGAGACCGATCACCGATCACAGAAAGCAGTATCTGCCGAGTACTTTTTACAGTATTACAGTATTTTTAAAGCCTTCTTTTTATCATGTAAAATTATTCTCCAATCAGGAATTTTAGACATTTATTCAGGGCCTGAATTTCACTTTTGAAAATGAATTCACCTCTTAGGTGACTCTTGTGAGAGGGGATTTTTAATTTGAGGGGTGGAGGGGAGCATTTTTTTTTGACATTTTTCAAATATATATATTTATCTCACCTAAATGTTTGATCATGCATTGCATTTTTGTTTTTACAATCGTGCAATTGTTGCACAAAAGCTTACACACAGCGCAAGCCTGATTTTGTGAGCTGTATGTGAGGCAGCCTTTTACACCAGGTTCACACATACTCTGTTTGCAGTGCGTATGCAGTCCATGTGTGGTACATAAGCGGTGCAGAAGCGGCAGGTGCTCACTGTGCTTTCACACAGGAGTCTGCAACTGATCCGTGGCCGTTTACTACAGACAACATTTATCCATTATTTTGATTTCAAATCCAAACATTGTCACTGACAATGCTTTTTCAGCATTGTGATTATTTTTTTACACAGTCCAGTAATACAATCTTTCACAGACATGTTTAAACACAATAAATATAAGCAACACATTATTCAATGCTATTTACTTTTGCATTTACTTCTAGATTTATATATTAAGTTGCTCAAGCAAGTGTCAAAACATTTAAACTACTTACATTATCACAAACATTCTAAATTAAAACTTACCATTGACAGAAAGTCAGCTCTACCGCCTTACTACATTTTCGTGTCAATCCATGTTCATATTTACCGCAAACAATGCACTGTTACTTTAATTCTTCGCTTGCAGCGCAGCAAACATAGACTCTCCTGCAGATGCACCGCTCCTGAACGCCCTGCCAGGCTGCAACCGCGTGCAGTGTGCACACTTTAAACCCCTAACATGAGCGCAGAAAAAATACGCACCACATACGCACTGCAAACAGAGTAATGTAAAACCTGGTGTTATGTGTGTGCGCTGCGAGTGTGCACGAGCGCTGAATGGTTTGAACACTAGCAAGAATTAAAAAGAAATGCAATTTATAAACTTTAGTGACGATGTGACACTGCCTCGATTGTGCAAGTGACAATTCCTGTGTTAACTGTGTAGCTGTTAACTTATAGTGCAGACGAGATTTAATTTGAAGCCATTTGTGCATTTTGAGAGAGAGCGTGCGCGGTGATTCACTCATGCTGTTTGTGAAATTGTGTCTCACAGAAAGTTTTCAAATTAGCTACTTTATACGTTATTTAATGAAGAAATATGAAGTGTACCTCACCTTCAGCATTATAATTATTTAATCTGCGCCGGACAGAGACTGAGACGGTGCCACTGCATGTCGTGCCAAACCTCTCACGGCAGGCACGTCATCAGCTTGAGATCGGCTTTATAGAGACCGCCGATCAATCATCCCAAAGCGATTATCGGCCGATAGTGATCGGTAGCCGATCAATCGGAGCACCCCTACCAGGAGGTTATCACCTCAAGTGTGATCAGGAGTACTGTTTGAAGCTTCCAGGAATGAAAACTATCTTTTGACAGATTTACAGTGAATGTTTTTGGACATTGGCCAAGTAATGTGTCGAGGCCACAGCTGCTGTGAAAAACAAACTGCAATTTGTGCATCATACATCAGATGATTTTATGAGCTCCGGTCCTGAGTATCACAGCTTTTAACGGAATTGTCATTTACTCACCCTCATGTCAAACCCATATGACTTTTTTTTTAAGAATCGTAGCGCCATTTATTGTAATTGCATAGGAAAGAGAGTTTTTTTTGTTGTTATTTTTATATTTTTTGTAATATTTAAAATTATTTTAATTTTTAGATTTTCAGTTTTCTTTTTTATTTTAGTTAAAGTTTTAGTAATTTTGTTGTGTTTTTGTCATCTTTATTAGTTTTTATAATGTTTCTATATAGTCTTTATTAATTTATTTCAGTTTTAGTTATTTTAGGACTTCAAGTTAAATTAAATGAAGATGATAAATATTGCCTTTGCAACTAGCGAAAATAAAATAAGTTTAAGTTTTTTTTATTTATATATATATATATATTTTTTTTTTATTTCATTTAATTTTTATTTTATTTCAACGAACAACAATGTTTATGGTTTTAGTTTTAGTTAACTAAAATAACCCTGGTGAACAGTACATTATTAAAATGTTTTCTTTTGTTTTCCTCTGAAGAATATATAAATAAATACACATTTAGACACAAAATTTTGCTAAACTAAAACTGCTATGTGTATTTCAGTAAAGTGATATTAGTGACTGAAGTGTCAACTTCTGAACATGTTTTTTGTGGTTATTTTTAGGATCTGCCATGCATAGATGAGCTGTCAAGCCAGTCGCTGTTCTCCTCACCATCTGATTCTCTGTCGGAGTATCCAGATCCTTCAGGATTTGCCGTTGATGGCCTGGCACAGTTATCCACCGAGGGCCCTGTGGCACCAATGTACTGGGATATACCTGGACACAGTCAGAGACAGGTATTCGTGCTCTGCTTTTCTCTCAGATATTTACCATTTTCAATGGTTCCACAGATGTTTGCATGCACGTTTTTAAACCTATTATGCTTAATAAGCCAACAAAGCTTGTGGTCATGTAAACACGCTAAACCATTTTCCTGTATCGGCGTAAACAGCTTAAACGGCAATCCAAATGATCCAGCTGGATTTTTGCAGATTACCCCGATTTCGGCCAGCATGTGAACACCCGTGTGTGTCATACGTGACAGAAAAGCATCCTTACTGCAGATTGAAACGCATCCAGCCATTGCAATCATTTCACAGTATGGCAAAAGAAAATATATATTGTACACTTTGACTCTAAATTATAAAAATGTATTCTTATATTCCACTCTCGAAGGAAGGAAAGTGGTATAGTCTTAGAAATTGCAACCGTAAGAGGACAATATGAGTCTGTACTAGAATAATACAAAGCAATTTCATAGTCTTTTGACAGCCAGAGATAATTTTTATAGTGCAGAATTGAAAGATCCATCCGGTAGAGGCCGTAATGTCTGCAAATGGGAGATTACTGTATCTGGAGTGGGCTTTCATTCGATTGTTGAAGCATTCTGACTCAAGCCGTTCTGTAGCTTGCCTGACTTGGAAGTTTACTGTATAATTGCGCACTGTCAAAATGGCAAGATATCATTGCTATAAACTTGATTTCTTAACCTTCAGGTCAGTTTGCTATAGTACTAAGAGCTTTTTCTGTGCAAGCTACTTTAAAGGTGCATTAATGTGTTTAATCACGAAACATGGACGTGGCTTTGCTTAAGCTTCTTTTCTGCTGATATTTTGAAATACTAAGGGGTTTTTAATGCTTTATTTAACATCCCAACTCACAAAACAAATGGAATTCTTGGAATCGGATACACAAATGATTACATTTTAATGTCACTATTAGAGAAACACCTGTTTAGTATTCATCAGTGTATTGGTGTGCTAGTAAACGGATCAATGTTCAGTACTCTTATTTAATGTTGAGCCCTGAACAAGTAAATCTTTTAAACTTTTTTATTTAGTTTACTAAGACTAAGTTTAATAATAGTCATTGATGTGATTTTTTTTTCCGTATTCATACAGATTTCTGTATTTTCCAACCTGAAAAGTATGACTCAGTTTAATTGCATAAATCAGAGAAAAAAAAGTTTTCTGCCAAAATAAAAGCTCTATGGTTTAAATTTTGAAAGCAAAGAAATGTATTCATCCAATAAATATTAGTTATTTTCTGTTACAATAAAATAATAATAATAATTATTATTAAATAGGGCTGCCCTCGACTAAAGATTTTTCTGGTTGACTTGTAGTCGTTCATTTTAACTATTAGTCGACTAATCGCACATTTATTAATAAACAATTTAAATCATTATAATGAGTCTTTATTTGCCTACAAGCTCTCAAGCACACGGATAAAACTTGCCACAGCTCACCGCAGAAGTAATGATTATAAATGTGTCAGGGAAAAACAGTAAGGAGACTGCATTAATATTTTAATAATTTATTGATAAACTAGTGCTTTCTTTGTTTTCGTTTTAAGAAATTAAGTCGGCGACACTGACTCGTCATCTCTGTACTAGTGATGCGCCTGTATGCATGTTTTATACGGATTACATAATCTGAGAATATTTGCTTCCTATTTGAATTGGTTAATTTGAAAGTAGACATTTCGCTCTCTATAGATATGTTTTCATATCTGTAAGGCAAGCGTACATGGAGTTTCGTAGTTTTGCGCTCAAGTTCACGGAGACCGAGACGGCAGAAAGCGCATCCTGTTTGCTTTCATTATTTTACAGAAGCGCAATGTTTTGTTGTTATTGTGAATGCACACAAATAAACGTAGAGTCTTTACAGATTCAAAAGGTGCATTACTCTTATCTGTATGACCAAAAATGAGGGAGTATTTTAAGGGCAAGCGAGCGCACCGGTGCCTCCATCTGTCCTGCAGTGAGCGCGCTTCTACGCTCCGCACATACACTTCAATAGCGCACATTTCTCTAGGTTAGCCTAACATTAGATTGAGCGGCCATGTAAAGTTGCTAATACTTACATATTTCAGATGATAAGCCATATTTGAGGTTGATTACCACATAGACCAGCTATTAACGATCTGTCCTTCACGAACTGCGTGACTTTGCCTGTGGATTTTTTTTTGTCTTTTTTTCTGCGACTAAAAAAATTTTGGTCGACTATTAGGAGGCAGCCCTATTATTAAATATTGTTTTTTTTGTTTTTTTTTTCATTTACAATATAATCTTAATATTTAAGTATATTTTGTATTATAATATTTATATTTTCTAATTTAAATGATAATGAAACTAAAAATATATATTTATAATAATATTATTTTTTGCTGGTTTCCTTGTTTTTTTTTGTCTTCGGTGGTAGTTCATCCAAAAAAAAAATAATTCTGTCATAATTTTCTTATTTTCAAGTTGTTCCAAAACGGTAGCCATTGGCTTCCATGGTATTTTTTCCCCCATACTATGGAAGTCAGTGGGTGCTATCAACTGTTTGGTTACCAACATTCTTCAAAATATCCTCTTTTGTGTTCAACAGAAGAAAGAAAGTCATACAGGTTGAACTTGAGGTTGAGTAAATGGTTTTAGATGAACCATCCCTTTAATACTCATTACCAGTAAAGTTTATATGTGCAGTCGATATTAATAGCATGTAGAGTCTCATTTCTCTTGTGTAATTCCATATGAGTGTTCAGCATCTCTGCATCTGTGTTCTTCAGCAGAACCTGAGCGCGTTTCCTGGTAGGTTGGATGATTTTAGCGCTCTCCTGTCTGCATCAGTCGCAGGATTTAAGGTAGAGCCTCTCCTTTTCTCTAAAATATTCTGTCCTCTGTTTCACCACATTTCATCATCTTTTGTTTTCTGCCCCTTCATTCCTTCATTTCCACAGGCTGCTGCTCCTCCGCCGCCTCCACCGGAGGAAGAGGAGGAGGCAGATGAGGAAGAGACGGAGGATTTGGGGCACGCGGACACATACGCCGAATACAAGCCATCCAAATGTAAATAGACATACTGTATTATATTAATCTACAGCACATGAGTGGGCAATATGAGCCAAATATGCATTTTTATATCACGGTTATAACATGTTGTAGTGAGTGTAGGATCCTTGCAAGTGCTCAAAATTAAAAATATTTTAAATGGTATATTATAATATTTTAAAGATCGTAAATATTTAAAATGGTATAGCAAAAGTCCTAATTATCATTTTAAGAGGTCCTAAATTTAGGAATGGAATAACAGTAATTATCATACTATGATGTCTGATGTAATTATTAATCTTCAAAAAGCAACAATTTAATCAAATTAGTCCAAGCGGTGCACGTTCAAAGTCAAAACGCGGTGCTGTTTCACATTCTACAGGCTCGCAGTCAATTAATACCATGCATTTATGCCAAACAATTGCTTATGATGTACTGTTAGTGGGTAATGACAATGTTTACTTTATAATCTTTATAGTGTGAAATGTTGTAGATGCTTGAAAGAGTCCATATTTTGTCTTTTTGAATGAGCAGCTGGAAGTAGCAACACAAACATTTCAAAATAAGAGTATTTTGGACTTGTTTATAACTAAAAGTCATCAATTATGCATAATTTTTTTCCCCCTTGTTATTAATATCTTGTTAGTATTAATTCCTTATTTAATGTGTGCCCCATACTGTCTAATTAAGTAAAATAATCTGATATATATAATTTATTTTGAGGTTGTATGGGTTTGTTCTGTAAGGGCATATGATTTTATTTGACATTTTATTTGGCCCACCATATAGTAGGGGGAAAAACATGCCGGTGAAGCATATCATAATTAAAAAAAAAAAATTGTATATGTTTTTTTGTTTAATTTTTGAATTTAAATAAAGAAATTATAAGTAATTATATTTATATATATTTATATATATATAAATTAAATGTAAAAATATATAGTGTGATATAATGCAAGATTTACTTGGGGCCCACAGCCCTCAGTCAAGTTTGGCTTTCAGCCCTTCATAGTAAAAAGTTTGGGCACCTGACATATGGCATTAATTTTATTTGCGCAGGTCTTAAAAAACATTAAAATTTAATAAAAATCATGCTGCCCATCCCTCATACAGCACAAACTAAACTCGATTTCACAGTTTGTGGTGCTTCCGTGTTAAATAAATGCTCTGTTCTCATGTGTGCAGCTACTATAGGAATCTCTCATCCTGATTTTGTGGTGGAGACCAACACGCTGTCCAGCGTTCCTCCTCCTGACATCACCTACACACTGTCCATTCCAGTCTGCAGCATTAGCTCCGGCCTACTGTCTGCCCTGCAGCTGGAGGCCATCATCTACGCCTGCCAGGTACTCTTGCTGTCTCTGCTCTTCTCTTTCCCCTCACAGATGAGTTTAGTGTGAATGTATTAGAGCTGGGCGATATGGCAAAAAATGTAAATCTCGATTTAAAAAATAAAATAAAATTCAGAACGTACGACCAATTCTTGATTTTTTTTTTTTTTTTTTTTTTTTTTTTTTTAAATTTAATGATATCAGAGACTTGCTGAATGTGCAGTTGTGATTAAATTCCTCTCAAGCCTGCTCTGATAATGACAAC